ATTCATCAGTATCAGAATCTGAATCGGAAACCAAAATTTTTTTCTTCACCTTTTCTTTTCCTTCTTCGCTCATTTTTGAGGACTTTTCTTTACCTTTTCCTTTTCCTTTACCTTTGCCTTTTCCTTTAGTTTTGTCACACGTTTTTTTGGTCTTTGCCAGTTACACGTAACAACTTACCCCAAACAATTGTAACTACTTGCCCCATGGCACGTTTTTTAATATAAATTGAAGTCATTATTAATGGATATCGATAGTAGAATAAAACAATATTGTAAATTAAAGGTAGATATATTATGAACGTTCAAGGTTAAAAATTTTGACAAAATAAAAAATATAGTCATCAGGAATCAAAAATTTCGTAAAGGGTTTTTTTACTTACTTGGTTAAAATCGGGACACACGCACACAACCTAGCAGCTCAGCGCTTGGCGGGTCACCGATTGTTTTTATCTAATGCACGATGTTATAAAAAAACGAATGAGTCCAATTATGTCCATCAAAGAGTTTAAAATCCCGGTAAAAACGCGTGTAACTTCTTACCCCTGTAACAACGTGCCCCCCGCTCCCCTAATCTAATCTAGGCCTATTTCTTATTGACTTCCATGGAGTCCTTTCTTCTTCTATTCTTTCTAATACTTCTTCGCTTCTAACCCTTTGTATCGACGGTATCTTCATCATTCTCCTACAACACCACATTTCGAACGCTTCTAAACTTTTCTTTTCCGCCGCGCCCACCGACCATGTTTCGCACACGTACAGCGCCACACTCCAAACACACCTTTAACAACCTTTTTCGAATTTCTAAATTAACCGTTCACGAGCATAGAAGGACATTTTTTTAGTGAAGGTTACTGGACCCTGCGCTATCCGCTGCTTTATATCCTTACTACTACTTCCGTCCTGACTTATCTGACTTCCTAGGTACCTAAAATCGGCCACTTCTTCTAATTTTTCATCTCCTGTCTTTATATTCGCTCTTTCCCTATTTTTTCCTCCCTTGGATACCAGTATTTTTGTTTTTACTTTTATTTATTTTCATGCAGTACTGTTTTGTCAGTACCGAATACATTTTATTTAATGCTATCTCTAACTTCTCCTTGCTAGATGCTAATACTGCTATATCATCTGCAAGTCTAAGCATACTAATCTTTTGCCCCTGTATATCTGTCCGTACAGTTGTACTGTCTTTAATGGTGTTGATCGCGTCTTCGATTTATAGATTAAAAAGTAGCGGTGACAGTGTGCATCCCTGTCCGACTCCCTTCCTAATATTTACTTCTCTACATTGCAATCCCAGCTCTATAACTGCCTGTTGCTCTTTCTATAAACTTATTATCACTTTTCTAGCTTTGTAACTCATCCCTACATTTTTAAGTATATTTAACATCTTGTCCCATTTGGCATTGTCAAAAGCTTTTTCTAAATCTACAAATCTTATGTAGGCACTCTTTCTTTTTTCTATCGTTTTCTCTATTGTTACCCGTAAAGCTAGAATGGCCTCCCGCGTTCCTCTATTTCTTCTAAACCCAAATTGATCTTCCCCTAGTAGTTCTTCCGTTCTTTTTTCCATCCGCCTCTATACAATTCTAGTTATGATTTTTGACGCATGGGAAGTTACGCTAATTGTTCTAAATGTTTCGCACCTATCCGCGCCTCTCTTTTTAGGTATGGTTACTACCACGTTCCGTTTATAATCCTCTGGGACCTTCCCCGCCTTGTAAATGTGACTAACTAGCTTAAACATACGATCTCTAAATTAAAATGTTAAACAAATTCAAATAGGATCACATTTGAAATATAGCCTATAGAATGACAAGGTTGCGTCATCATCTTCCAATTTGTCATCCTCACAGATGGTATATTTTTTTCAAATTTAAAGCTTGAGACTTGAGCTGCCCAATAACGAAAGGTCTAGTAACCTAAACACAAAAAAAGGTACAGTCGAGTGAGAAACTCCTTTTCTGAAATCGATTGAAACCGATGGGTATCTATCATCATCGATTTATAAAAAATTGTTTTAAGTTTGAGATGAATGCTGGGCTCACTGAGGTCATGCTCAATTTTATTGTTTCAGATACGCTTTTAGAAGTCTCATCAACCTCGTAGAATTGGACATAAGCTACAACGTCTTAACATCGATTCCTTCACATACATTCGACTCCATTCCTGAATTGAGAGACTTGAAACTTTCTGGCAACCCCATAACTCGCATATTGAATCATGCTTTTATACATCTTCGACAATTAGTAAAATTAGAACTATCAGATTGTAAAATAAATACTATTGAAGACGAAGCGTTTCACGGATTAGAAAGATCTTTAGAATGGCTCAAATTGGATAACAATAAATTACAAAAAGTGCAATCAAAATCGATTACAATTTTAGAAAATCTTCACGGTCTAGAGTTGGCAAACAATCCATGGAATTGTTCCTGTACCCTTCGACCACTACGTCAGTGGATGTTGAGGAAGAATATTCCTTTTGGTGTTCCTCCCATGTGCAGTTCTCCAGAACGAGTAAGCTCAAAACCCTGGGATAAATTACAATTGGACGAATTCGCTTGCGCTCCAGAAATTTTAGCTATAAATCCGATAGCGCATGGTGTCGAAGGTAAAAACGTGACCATGGCCTGTAGAATAGCAGGAGTTCCCGAGCCAACGGTACGATGGATCCTAAAGAATAAAGTGATAGCAAATCTGTCCGGAACGCCGTATTCCAACGGAAAAAAATTGTACATAGTGCATTTAACGAACGGATCTAGTGATTTAACAATTTTAACTGTGGATCTTCAAGATGCGGGAGTGTATGTGTGTTCAGCAGAAAATAAAGCGGGTCGAGCGGAAGCGAGTGTAACCTTGGGAGTTTCTCAAAGGCCTTCGCATTCGCCTTTAACCGGAATATCGGTTATCGTGAGCCTAGTAACGGCAGGACTGCTAGCACTTCTTGGTTTTGTGGTGGTAGTATGGGTGTACAGCTTACGGAGTAAAAGGACGCTAGAATGGCGCAAGCGGAAGTGCGGAAGAGTACAGGAGAATTACGAAAAAATTGAACTGAATCACAAAGTGCCAGGTATACCTATTTAATCCTGGAAAATTTCATTGCTTTGTCCTACAATCTTAGTCATGTGTTTATTCAAACTTTTTAATTCATACGCTTTTTTTTTTTATTTGAGAACCGCTGATACGTTGTTGAACATTTCGTATAGGTACGGTTTTTTTTTGTGTGAGTGTTTAGAGAGGAACGGTCAAATTGTGTTATCAACAGAAAATTTATATATTCAATCAAGACGCAAGAGGATTGTGACGACATGGTGATCAGCGGTTCTCAATACTATACCCTTTATAGAGGTAGGTCCCATTCACGACTTTTTAATTTTTGTAAACATTATACTTATTATTGATAATGAGCTAAATATATTTATCAGTTACGACTAAAGCGATTCAACTTTCGTTACAGTATGATCACGTTTTATTTGTACCAATTCTAAAATCCTATTTTTAACTGCAAAAATAAGGTAATTGTTATCTTAATTCTAAATTAGCAGTTATTGCTAATGAGTTGCACTGTTTTCGGTATTTAAGAAAATTTAATTTGGTTTTTAGTCCTGTATGCAATTAAAAAAAAAAGAGAGTTGTAATTTAATTACATTAAATGTTAAAATTATTCACCGTTTATACTTCAAATTAAGTTACTCGAATTTTAGGATGTATATTAAGCAAACAACTTTTAAGGAACTTGGTCAACTACAACCAAATTACCAAACTTTTTTACATACCATAATGCAAAACCTAAAAATGTGCAAAACAAAATTTTCAAACTGAACATTTAAAAAAATCGAACAATTTTAAGCTTAACCATCCGTAGCCAATTAACTGATCCATTAAATGTATAACTTCGTAATCCTTTAAACACCTAACCCTAAAACCTTATGACCCCATAGTTCTATATCCTTTTAAATAAAATACCGAAACAGTATCACTCAATCTCTCACCACGAAACTATTCGTGGCGTAGATATCACAAAATTAAAACGGAGTATGCTTATGATTTCCAAGGTATTGAACTCTGGATGACCTTGTATGACATTTGTAAAACCGTTAGCATTAGCATTACCCAATGTAAATACATCGCGAGGAGGTAACTTTAATTTTGTGAAATATGCGTCACAAATAGTTTCATGGTGAAAGATTAAGCTATTCTGTTTCAATACATATTTTGATTACCTACGGCGATATAGGGTTATGAAGGCATGGTTTTAAGAATTATAAAGTTACTTATTAGAAGAGTTGATTAGTTACAGAGTTTAGATTTAAAATTTAGGGAGCCCAAAAACATACCGTTTACATAGTTAGACCCTCAGGTCAAAAAAAATTTTAACGGTTTCAATGGATTTTGAAATGTTTTTCGAGATTAGGATAGGTTAGGTTGGATTTTGAAATATTTTTTGAGGTTATCTCTAAAGCTTAACATGCTGGGGTTAAATTTACCGCAGATTTAGATTCAGCAACCCCAAAGACAAAGTATACATAATCAAACCCCAGGCCAATTTCTTTTTGTATGGCTATGTAATTTATTGCTAAGTTTAGATATACAATTTTTCGTAAACAAAACGTTTTAGAAGCTTTAAACGAACAATTAGATCATGTCACGAATGAAGTTTTTGTAAAAATATTCTAAAAGCATGAATTACTACAAATTAATTCTTCTTCAAAAGTCCTTCACGTATAGCTGTATACTGCTGGTCATAGGTCTACCCCGTTTTTCTTTATTTCTTCCGACATTTTCCCTTCTGAAGTTGGTGGTGATTTATTCAATGCCATCTCCAGCACATTAGTGGTTGTCCTCGATTACGTTTGTTCGCTCTTAGTCTCCACTTCATAAGTATACGTTTCCATCGTATATCCCTCAATCGTGCCACCAGACCTTCCCAGTTCCACTTTAATTCTGCCATCCTCTCTACCACGTCTGAAACACCTGTTCCAGTTGTTAGGTCCTCGTTTGTAACTCACCTTTTAGAATGATTCCTATCATTGGCCTTTCTATGCGTCTGGGCTACTCTCAATTTCAGGACACTTTTTTTTAGGGTGGTCGTTTTTCCTCCGTACATTAGTACTGGAAGTACACATCGGTCAAACACCATTCTCTTCTGTATAAAAAGGCCCTTCATCATCATAAAGTCGTCAGTCATAAGACTGGTTGGACAAACAGCTCCATTATTTCCTATCCTGAGCTAATCTTCGCAATTTCCTAAAACTAGAACAACCCACATCCTTAACTATTTGCGAACAGTAATCAAATCTAGTTCTACCTCTACCCCTCCTAACTCTTCCCGTTTCTGCCTCTAATATGACTCTGACTAGACCTTCTCCTGCTCTTTCTAATACCTCTTCATATCTAATCTTCTCTATCCATGGTATCCTCATCATTCGCCAGTAACACCACATTTCGAACGCTTCTAACCTTTTCTTTTCTACCGTGCCCACTGTCCATGTTTCGCACCCATACAGCGCCGGTGCTGGATTCGTCTCCGCCTTGAATAGCAGAATACCTTAAAATATCAGAAAAAGAATTACAGAAAAAATTCATTTTTAAATAAATTAGGTTTGGAACTACGCCATCTTCCGCAATTGACAGCTCCCGTCACGGACGCTTATAGCTTATTTATAATAATTAATATCCACTGCAAATCAATGACATACTACACATTATAGAATAAAAATTCAACAGAAAATAGGAAAAACCGGCATATTCACATCTAGAAAGATATTGAAATATATATATATAACTCGAATCGAAATGTAAACGAAAATACAAACGTCAACAACTGTCAAATAGATTAGTATCAATCACTGCAGATCAGTCGGTCAATCAGTCATCAGTACCACAAGATTGACAACACAGAATCTATGAATCATATTATTACGTTAATAAAATCCGAAATTAATTGTAACTTTAGCTAAAAGTTAACATAACATTCATTGACAGTTACGCGGTACGAAGTTCGCCGGGTCAGCTAGTATTTAATATTAGCTTCCATGTCATAATTGCAATTAAAGATATTGCCCGAAACATTTTCCATTTAACTGAGTTACATGTTGAACGGAGGCTTTTTGGTGAATTCATTTCAACCTAAAACAAACAAAATTTAATAATAATCCATTATAATTTTTATTTATGGCTTGTGCGATATCTGGGTTCTTATCACGCGACTGCATGACAATTTTCGATCTTAACGGCATCATTTCACGCAATATAAAGATTTTGAAAGTAGGTGTACCTTTAACAAATAACTAAATAAATCACAGCGTATCGTTAGCACTTCGTTACTACATCGAATATTGTATTGTATTAGTATTATTATTATTGTGACGACAAGAATAAACACAAAGTTAAATTACAGAACTGTTTATTAAAGGTCACATCATCGTTTAACCATACAGTGGCTTCTTCAGGCTGAAAAAATACTAATATTCAAGTATTAAACAATTCGTTTACATGCTAAATGGGTAAAGGTCTAGATGATGACCCCCCACCTCCTTCGGGGGTGGGGATGGGGGGGATCGAAAGAGGAGGTCTCCCCCACCACTGTACCATAAAAAGTTCGTGGCGGTCTCACCCCCTTAAAAAGTTATAGGGCTTCAAAGTTAATAAATATGCCAATTTTTATACATTTCTAGGCATGTAAATATTTATATAGACATTCTTAAACAATATTCAAAGGTAAAACTAATGAAAAATACATAANCTAATTACGTCATTTCATTTCAACTAAGTATATTACTTCTCAGAAGTCGCGGCATTTTGGTTAAATATAAGTTTGTATCAAGTATTTACGACAATTCAGTGTCTTAATTTACAATTTACCTATGAAAATTTATTCGCTGCTAAAATATTGTATTTATAAATTTAAATACAATTATTACAATTAAAAACAATGTTTTTTGACATTTAAAGCGTGTTGATAAGTTGTTTAGGTGCTTAAATTGTGGTTTTCGTTAGTGTCTGTCTGCAATTAAAAAATTTTATGCAAAATTGCTAACAGCTTTTCGCGAAGATTGCGTAAAAGTGAAAACAAATGTACATAAAGACGACTGGGGTACGGCCCAAAATGGTCTTCGAGGGGTTTTGAAAACAAGTATCTTTTTGAGTGTTAAAAATGATGTAAAACATGTAGGTCTAATAAAACCATACTACCTAACGCTTTATCATGCAAAATGTCATAGCATTTTTCAACATTCGACTCCAACAGCACGTTTACTCATTCTATCTATTTTATTCTTACTGTTAATTGAACGATTTTATAAATTACTTGATGCATTAAACGATATTTTAAAATCAATGTTCTTTTAAGTTTGTATGTAATTTTGTTTGAATTACCACACAAATTTAAAAAAGATTTATAATTAAAAACTTTTGAATTCTTTTATCATTTATATACGTAAATGAATAGCAAACTAATTTACTTCATTTGTTGTATAAACTATTTATTTATTAATTTCGTTGAGTATTAATTATTTGTGGTAATTTGCTTTATACTATTCAACTCGACTTTGAAATTAGTATTTAAATGGACTAATTTTAGTAACTACTTAATCATACGTGGATTACAGCTAATAAATGTTCATATGTTGTGTAGCCGGGCAATGCTTTTGATGTATTACAATATCAGTAGAAACATGACGGTTTTCTAAAAACGGAAATATTAATTTTGCCATTTACCTACTTTAGTTAGTTAGGTCCAAAAAAATTGCCTCTATTATCATCTTATTTTAAACACGAATATGTAAAATGTTGACAAATGCTACAAAAATACTTATATAAAATTCCAAGCAATCGTCTTTTCAAATTTCATATCTAATCGTTTTCAAAATTGTTCGTTTTCGTCATTACTTTTATAAATTTATATTTATTTACATAACGTCAGGCATTAGCCTACACATGCGGTAGTTACCCATTCTGTTTATTTTTTTATTAAATTGAAAATACATAATATTCCGTTTACTTTCCCTGGAGATGTGTCCCTTCCAATGTGGCAAAATTGTAGGTAGGGATAAAGGAGCTCATTATACT